CTCTTAGTGTAAAAGGTAACTTAGAGCAAGACACCTGGTTTTCTTTGACACGGAGTCATAGTGCTGGTAAACAGCTGAGTTTCTGAATGAAAGAAAACCAGCCAGTTCCCGATTCCTGCTTTTTCTGCTTTAAATGCAGACAGAGGCAAATATCTCCCAAACATTGTCTGTGACTGAGTTTGGAGGTTCCATGATCAAAAAGGACTAGTCCTGGAAGGAATTTTTAGTATTGTGGTATCAAGTATGTTCCCGTCTCCAGGGCAGAAGGGTTGTGGCTTGCTGTTGTGTTTTCTTGTAGTACTTTGGTTTGATCTGTGTTAAATAGGTTTCAGTAAAAGCGAAACCTGTGGAGGTACCTCACTTGTAAAAGCAACTGAACTTCAGTTGGAAAATACCAACACAATGTAGTCACTTCAGGTTCCTTACTCATGAAGGATATGTCAATAGTTCTGTGTAGGAAGAGGTTTTACTCATGGATTTGAGTGTTATTTGTGCTCCACAAACACAGGTGAGTTCTGTGAAATGTCTGGGATTAGGCATTTCTTTAAAAATACCTAAGTTAGTTCTCACCCTGTTACTTGGAGCAATGCATTAAAGCAACTCCCTGGAAGAGTCGGGTTTGCTGGAAGAGTGGGGTTTTCCTCAAACCCCCTTTCTAGAGGCCTAATTTTACAGCGTGGGGCCTGTAGTGGGAAGCAAGAGAGAACAGTGCTGCTGGTACATGGCAGGAGCAGCCCTACCAGCAGTAAACAAACACTGAGAATTATCCAAACACTGTCAAGACTGTTGCAACAGTCTCACAATAACTGCTCTAAGAGACCTTTGAATGTCTCATTGATCAGAAATGGGCTGACTGCTGCAGGCTTTAGTGTTGGGGGGGACAGCGACATAGTTCTGCAGGGATTTTTCAAACCCTTTGGGTGAACCATTGACAGAATGCTTTTGCTGCTGAAGGATGGTGAAAGCCCTCAATTAAAACCAGAAGGCAAGTTAGATTTCCTATCTGAATTTGAAGACAGGCACTAGAATGCCCATTGAAAGTCTTTTGTTTTGAGCTGCATTGACCAATTCTACTGGACCTCACAGTACTGGCACTAATGGGCTAACTGGGAGGGAGAGGTTTGTAGGAGGGAAGACCTTTTCAGAGTTAGCGAGTTCTATTGCATGTTGTTCATCCCTGCATCCTCTGCTGCTTATAGCAATAGCATTCAAATATAAAGAAGTATTTCCCCTTGTTTTTCCATGAAGGGTTGTGAAGCACCATGTCTCGGGGGCGAGTAGGAGCACGGAGCTTGCTGTGCAGATCTGGGAGGTAAGAGCTGCATCTCCTCACCTCCTTTTATGAAAGAAACACTCTGAGTTTGTTTCCTTTGAGTTTATTCTGAGTTACTGATTAAAAACTTCTAAAGCAGTGTTACAGCTATAGGAGACTGTCAGCCAATGGAGCTAAGTGGGCACTGCAGCTGCCTGTGGGCCCTGTCCCCTTGGCCACCACCCTGTGCTACACCCGGGGGCTGTAGTGAGTACCTTCACTAAAGACAGCAGTTTGCTTTATTAACCAGTTATTCTTCACCTTGCTGTTCTTAGGCAGTGGTCAGGCACATGGCTGGTACAAGTGGGTTGAGTTAATAACCTTTCAAGAGCGAGTAGTTCTAGATACTTACCCTACATTTTAAATGTAGAACGCTGTCACTGCTCCCCTGAGCTACTCGCTGCTCCCAGCTTCCATTAGCAATAGTGTCCTGCTTTGTGTCAGTAGGATACCCTGGAAAGACTAAATGATCCTGTCCTCTCGCACAACTTTCAGCCTGTGCTTCTAGCAGCAGTAGGCACAGCCGCAGGAGTGTTGTGTGTCCAGCAATGGTGATGGGTAGTCAGAGGGCAAAACCAGAACTTTTCTGTTAAAAACATGTAGCTCTGCTCACAGCTGCACACTCCTAAATCTGGCAGTGACCTTCCCTCAGTGGTGGCCCGGGACAGCACTGCGGTACAGGTCAGGCTGCACGCTGCCTGCAGGATACTTCACCTGGGTACCGAAGTCTAGAAAGTAATTGCAGAAGATTCTAGCAATTGAGCCTTTGTTGCTTGAAAAATCAATATATCACTTTCTCAGGTTCTAAAACTACTTTTAAATAGGTATTTTGTCAACCCTGAGAAATCCTCACTGTAGCAAGGACTTGACCTTTATGACAGAGGACAAAATGCTTAAGAGCTTCTGAAGCACGAAGTTTGCATGTAGTAATGTAGTTCACGGCACAGAAATGTTGCTGCCCTGCCCCATGTGCCCCCTCTGGTTTATAGGCTGGACTTTGACTGCAGGATTGTCTTAGAAGTTTAAATCACAGAGTGGTTTGGGTTGAAAGGGACCTTAAAGATTATCTACTTCCAATCCCTTAAATCCCACTTTACAATGAATTAGATGTTGAAGGAGGCTTTTTCCTTTTAGTCAAAGATTATAATAGTACTTACTAGCATGAAGGAAGATACTGAAAAACCTGTCTTAAGCAGGACTTTGCTCTTTCATACTAGAATAGTGTCGATCCAAGGTTATGCATAAAGTTGCTGATTTTGGGATTTGTAAATGAGTATCCATTAGAAAGTTGTATCTTTCCCACTCGTTATCCCAGTTGCAATTGCCAGTACGGGACCTGCAGCAAGCCACAGGAACTGGGCAGTGAGCAGAGAGGGGTAACGCACTCGCCCTTCGAGTAAGTTTCGAAGTCATTGCAGGCACTTCCAGGAACCCAGTCCTGTGTCTGTTCCTGCTTTCAAAGCTCCATGGTGCCCTCGGGTGGCTAAAGCCTGCACCTTGTCCCCATACGACTTAAAAGACACTTCGAGTTACCATCTTCCAGGTTCCTGCTTATGCTTAACTAAAATAGACCAACTTTACCTGATCAGCTGAGAGAATGAAACCTTTAGTTCAGATTAGGCATCAGGATAAAGAGCTGTAACTGTAGATGAAGTGGTTTCTGAGCCAATCATATTTAGGCTGTTAAAAGCTTTTAAGGCTCTAATATTCAAAACAGGTTTTACTGTTAAATAATAAATCTGGAAACGCAAACTTTTACCTGTAGTTTAATATTTATATACTGATTGATAGCACCTTGAGGCCCCAACCAACATTTGAGCCCCTCAATGTCTCTGCCCCAAAGAGCTTACAGTCTAAGCAGTCAAGAAGTAGAAGAAAATAACAACTGTGGTTGCTTTTATAGATCAGAAACTGAGATCCAACACAGGGCAAGTGATTTACCTGCTCTAAGGCACAGCATATGTGGTGGGATCTCTTGCATCTCTGCTGCAGGTCTCAGTTAAAAGATGTTCCTTCCTCTCTAGGCTACTTTTAATGAAAATGAGCCCATTTGGAAGTCTCAGCCTGAAAGTGATTAAGGTTCAGGACTGTTCTCCAGGTCAGGGTGAGCCCTGCAGGAGCAGAACAGAGAATATGTCTGTCACAAGCGTAGGTACTTCACATGCTTTGATTTTCTCTGGTCATCTCACAGCTCTGGGACTTAAAGCTGCCACAAGATGAGCTGTTTGGGGTGCTCTCTGCTGTGAATTGGAATCTTGGCTCCCATCTCTTCAATCAGTGGGCTTTGTTTTATGTGCTGCGAGGGAAAGCCCAAAGCTTAGAGAGAAGCTCTGGTTATGCACTGCTAAAACAACCACGTTCTGCCCTATCCTCCCACATGTGAATGCTTCTTGTTGGTGAGTGGAAGGCAAGCAGAGGTGGTAGGGAAGGCTGGGAGAGCCCTTTCCCTTGAGCTTAGCATCTATTCTGCTTCTTTGGGGCTAGGGCTAGGCTGCTGTGTTCAGTTTAGGCTACTGAGGAGCCAGCAGTAAGATAAGGGCTTGCGTTTACAAGGAGAATACTTAATATTGTATGTCAGCTTTGGTAACAAGTTCTTGACTTGGAGGTAGCAGCAGGTTCAGTTTATTTGTATATGCATCAGCAAACCAAGGTAAGTTGAAGGATGCACGTTGCTGAATTGCCCACTCTCTACCAACACAGATAACAGCAGCTAATTGAGAAAGACAAAGCTATTAATATTTTGCACTTTAAACTAAAGAACTTCAGTTTCATACTTCATTGAAAGCTTTTGAATTCAGCACCAATCTCATTGTATAAATCACTGCCACCTGGACAGGCACCAGTCCTATGTCTTTTGTCAACTGTGCATAAAACAAGGAGATTCCTGATGCTCCGTGTTTACCAGGATAACTGCAAGGTAAGGAGGAATAGCCATTAGCAGATAAATTACTTAACAGTCATTATAAACCAGTACACTTCACCTGTATAAAGCAGTGTGTTAACTCACGAGTTGTATTGATAGGTGAGGTGTAAGTATACAACAAAAATATTGAAGTATTGTCACTTGAAACAGTCGTTTCCTCAGGGAGCTCTGTTCATACACAAGGGTAAAGGAAACAGCACTGACCACAGAAGCTGAACAGTCATGGGTACAAAAAGCGATCACTTTTCAGCTATTGCACAAGTAGTGACACACACGCTGAAGGATTCTTACAGAACAACATCAGAAAGGCTGCATGCACCATTGTTCAAGGCCTTATGTGAACTATACATACACAAGAGTTGCTGTGTGCTGTAAATACATTGTGGGTGTGTATAAATTCACATAAGATTAAAAGATTAATTTGTAAATAGGAAAGTTTCCACCAGCTTATGCTTTATTGTGTTCTACACGTTTCCTAGCACGTACACTAGTGTGGATAAAAGGCATGACACCACCTGTGAGTAGGGGCCTCATGGAAGTAAAATCTTAAATGCTTTGGTAACTGGATATTCCCAAGGAACAGGTTTGTTCAACCAAACTGATGACTAAAACGTGAATGTGACTTTTATTGGGAAAAGAAGGCTATAGAATATGGCTGATAACTTCACATGTTTCCACGAGAGAGATACAAAAGAATTCCTTTTCAAGTGGATTGGGTTTTGTAAGCACAAATAAACCCAGCGGAAGCGTGGTGTCCGACACTTAAACCCTGATCAGAATGACTTCAGGATAATTGTGCCTTCCCCAAACACAGCAGGTTGGCAGCTGAGGAAGGAAATGAAATCTGAAATGAATAGGTTGGCATAAGAGGGGTAAATTCTCTCTGTACCACAAGTTTCATAATAAAATACTGCTGTATCTTTTAACTTTAGACATAAGCATTTTTATATCAGTCTGGTTTGTTCCTAACTGACTGGAAGCTTCAGCTAAAAAGGTGTTTACACAATATACACATTTCATTACTTACAAAGAGAAATAAGCTTAAAATTTCATATTAAAAACCTGGGATACAGTAGGGTTAGTAGCACCATGAAAAATGTTTTTCAAAACTGCAGTCTTGTTACTTGAAACATACTCAGTGCGTCGTGGTTTTCTTTATTCTCATGGTTGATCAAAAAGGTGCCGTTTTGGTACAGGGAGAGCAATGAAAAAATTCATCTTCTGATCCTTTGTGAACCTCAAGTGTTCTTTGCTGGTTCCAAGAGGTCAATTCTTTCATCTTAGTCCTGCTGCCAGATAGGTACCGAACAACCCCTAGAGTTTGGCACATGAGTGAGGTACACTGGAAGTCGCGTGGTTAAACCAGTTTGGATGTGTGTTTGCTTTTCTTTCTGCACAGTAGCACCATTGTTGCAGCTGGAACAGTGCATCTCAGCAATCCTCAACTGTTTTATAACGTTCTCCAAGACGTTACGTCTTCTTCATGCAAACTTGACAACGACTAATCCGCGTCCTCAAGTCTCCAGCTTTCAGTGTCTCTGACTGAGGTTTACTGGTTGGCAGACACAAAGGTAAGGTTAGGTTAGCTTTTACTTTGCTTACAGAACCATTGCTTGAAACTTCTACTTCATTCACAGTTTAAGATAACACCTAAGTACATAAGAGGGGAGTTAGTCCTGTATTTGAGAGTTTTCCTTAAGAGGGATCTTGTATGTCCTCAACGCCATGTTACAGATGCTCAGTGTTGTCTTGTGTCTCACTATCCTAAACAGCTACTTCAGGCTAGCACACAGTGTAGCACAAATACCAAACCAAGTGGAAGGTGAATTTTGTACAGTTGAGACAGTATTTCTGGGGTCTTTGTAGCCTTTGGGTTTCTTAATTGAAGGGTACTTTAATAACCCACACAAAACACTGCTACAGTAGGCTTTGTGTTTAAGTGATGGCTTTCCCAAATTATTTCTTAGTATTCTGAAAGAGTAGGGATGTGGAGATTAATATAACAAATTGGTGTAATACGCATGTACACAGAGGAAGTCCAATTCTTAAAGTTTCTTTAAGAAATAGAATAAAAAAGGAACTTGTGTTTCTGTGAGACAGAAAACTCCAAGGTGCGTGGTAGCTGTTCATGAACAGTTTTCACTAGTGAATTATAACTGACCAACAACCCTGAAAACTCAGTGATGGCTATTTAATGCACATTAAATAACATGGTGGTTGGCATTACACAAAACCAACTTAGGGGCTACTACTGCTGTGCAACACAGTGCCCATTGCCAGCCCTCAACCCCAAAGCTACATTTGCCAATTGGGTGGCAGTAGGAGCATGAAGGTTTTTATCAGCACACAAACAGGGCAGGAGCAGTTTGTTCTAGGAAAGGAGATGACTTTTCAAGAACAAAATGATTTTGCTTCTCAAGTTGACAGGAATAAAGTTTGAAGAGCTGAGAGACTCCAGCTGACGTGCTGACTAGAGGAGCTGAGGACAGGATGTGCACTGGCTTCCTTGCAGCCAAATGTCATCCTCATTCTTCTGCCAAGTACTGGAAAAATGCTTGCCATGGAGGGTGTGAAACCTCTGCCACACAAGGCTTTTAAAGCCAGGTTATACGAACATCTGCCTTAAATGGTTCAAGTAGAGTTGGTTTTGTCCTTTGTATGTCTCTGAACTACCTTTCCGAATACTTGAGTCTATCTAAAGGCCTGACAAGAAAAAACCCCAACAAAATGGATGTTTTAGGCTCCAAATACAGTCAGTACAGAGAAGGTACTGCTAAATGTGAGTAAGAACTGACATAAAAGAATCCGACTCCTTGCAAAACAGAATGTGCCCTAGCAAGTTTTTACATACTATTAAAGGCTTACCAAGGAAACACTTGAAAAACTGGTTGGGAGGGGGAAAACAAGCAAAATTATTTCCCTATACCCCTGTAAACAAATCTCTTTTGATCTTTGGAATAAATTCAGGTTCCAAAGCTTTTATTCTGGAATAAGGCAATATACAAGAAACAGGTTTTCTTACCTGAACATTTCTGACACCTCTACAGTTGCCAGCCAGAAACTATAGGAGTTGGCATAGTAATTACAAGTGCCACGACCATGGCATTCAATGAACGGAGCTGAGCGGAATTCCTCTAAACAGGATCCAGGCGATGCCAAGGCCTGTCCAGAGCCCTCTGCTCCAGCACTAGTGTGCTAGTGGAGGAAAGAAACACAGAGACAAGGATCTTAGAGCAGGTGCTAAAAATTAAATAGCACAACATTCAAATCCTACACGAGGCACTGGTCGTTCTTGGGTTAGATAATGCAGTGTCAGACACCTCCGTAAATATCAGTTACACTGGGCTCTCTGCACTGGAAAATCACTGTTCATCTTGGCTACCATGGTTAGTGACTGAAGGTAAAGGCTTTCAAATGATAACCACTGCAGGGAAAGGGAGGAAAACAAACTCCTAAAGGAGCTAGTTGAGGACACAAGTGGGTACTAGCCACTTGTGGAGTAGGAGGCAGTGCTTACCATCATGAAAGAGTAACCAATCCAAAGGGAGTCCCAGCCTGGAGGACATGAAGGAATCTGGATGGTCTGACTGTGGACAGCTATCACCATAGCAGGAGCTTCACACACAACACATCTGGACACAGGGGAAGTATCAGAGAAACACATCATAATAAAATATAATAGGAGTATGTTTTATTAAGAATTCTTACGCAGAGGAGGGGAGGAAATCCAGCCTCTGAGAGGCTGTCCTAGTAATCCAGGCTTCTAATGCTGGTGTATGCTGTAACTGCAGCAAGACAGTATTTTGGAGTGCGAGAGCTGCCTGTATGTATGTGTATATGTACTAACAACCATTGAGTAAAATACTGAAGCAGTTCCTGGAACAAAAACTGGAAGCTCAAAGTCCCCAGTGAATGGCTTAATCCTAGAGTTAATGGCTCTCAAGTTCTCTTTCCTGTCCATAGCAGTCATGCAGTGCTGACTACACCGCTTCCTCAGGCAGAAGGAGGAGAGCTCTTAGAGCCTTTCAGCTACTTACGATCCCTGTGGCACGTAAACAGACCTTTAAAGACAATGCACACCTTTAAACAAGCTATTCTCTTAGCATTTCCCAGACAGATTCACCTCCTAATACCCAACCTGCAGTTGGAAATACATGGATAGGATGTGCTATTTATCCAGATGTTAGAAGAGATGGGAGAGCCTGCTTTGTCTCACCGGCTAATGAATGGCTGGATGCTCTGCCCAGTCAGTGGCTCCATGCTCATGGGCATTGGCTCTGGAGTTGACAGCCAGTAGGAATAGTCATTCCTCGATGCAAAATTACACACGTTGTTGATGTTGCAGAACATGAAGGGCATGGTGCTGAAACGTCTGAGGCAGCTCCCAGCAGTACCTGTGGAGTAAGATACATAAAACGTGACAGCAGCGGTTTCACTTCATTGCTTTTTACAGCAGTTCTTCAAGAACAGTAATTGTGTTTTCTTCCTCTCCACCTGGGAGCACACAGCGTGTGCATCACACTGTCACATGTGGGAAAACTTAACTTCTCAGTTTTGGTTTACGTTCTTTCATCCCCAGTTATAACATGCAGCCCTCTGGAGGCAGCAGGTCTTGCTACGCAATCCCCATCTGAGACATCTCTGTCACTATTCAGAGAACCAGAGCATTTGAAGAAGCAGCTACAACCTCCTTCCCCTTCAAGACAGATCATACAGCGTATCTCACCCAAATCCTGTCCGTGTGCTCGCTCGTTTCCTTGCACATACAGAAGAGAGAATCCATCATATATTCTTGATGTTCCTTGTGGACATAATGGTGTATCCCTGGTCTGGCTGTGCCGAGTTATAAGGAATCCGTGAGCCACAGAAGCTGTTCCAGGAGGTCCAGGTGGGCCTTGTAAGCCATCAGGACCTGGAGGTCCCTGTATTCCTCGTGAACCTATTCACACAAGAGACAACACGCAGCATTTATTAACACCATTTCTTCTATGGTGATAGGACTAACGTAGCTCTGAAAGGTAGCATGGGCTTGGGACTAAGGTGCTTGTGAGACAGGGGCCTGGTATCTACTAACACTTATCTTCCTCACAGTATTTTTTCAGGTAAGCTTGGTTAAATCACTGAGGCTGTCATAGCTGTTTGTAAAATAACTCTGCAACTTCCCAGTGTTGAAGGGCTATTGTGAAGTTAAATACATTCAGAGCAGTGAGAGACCAAGATAACTGCAGTAGCCACTGGAATGAGTCCAAATCAGCTTCCCAATTCCAAACCATTAAGATAACAAACACTGAAACATCTTGCTCAAGCTCACAAAATAAATGGCAGAGCCAGGAACAGAAGCGAGTTTCACTTGAGGGTGTGCAATGAGAACACTTGAGTCAAAGCCCACCAAAGTGAACAGAGAAGCTGCAGTGGAAGTAGAATAGAACAACCTTGAACAAAAGCAAGAGTGAGTTTGCTCTCTCTGACTGGGATAGGTACCAGAGAACATCAGAAAATATAATAACAAATATTTAGCCTACATTATTGCAGTCATTACTGTTTACATTTTCCCACTACAATAATGTTATCAGACTTCACAGAGCTACTCAGAGAAAAAGGAAACCAGGCATTAGAGATTTCTGCACTGCTTTAACTGTTTAAATTCTAATACTTTTCCTCACAAATTGCAATCTTCAGCTACTTAATATGTATCATCTTTAGAAAACTCTCCCAGTGCCTCACCTGAGTTCTCAGATCATAGTTGAGGAATTCTGAGCAATAGCTGCACAGCAGCCTGGCCTCTGCCTCCGGTGACATTCTTCCCTTTATGAAGTCTGCTTTTCCCCATTCATGATTTCCACACAAAATCAAATTATTTTAACTTATCTCTCTCTTCTGTTTCTTACTATCCTCATTATCATCTGTGCTGCCAAGGAGATGCCATTAAGCTTGAGATAAAGCATTTTACAGGATTATTCAGCAATGGCTGGCAGTGTGTTGGTTCCAGGAATATTCCAAACTGAAGTCTGTTCAGCTGCTTGTAGTATTTTTAAATTAAGAAAATCCTAAAATTATGATTTTCTTACTATTCCCATGAGGTACAGAAAGATCTCACTTCCCAGTGTTAGCCTGCGCTCACAGAAGGGAGCATCTCTCTTTCCACTGGGTTCCCACAGGATAAACACCATACCTGGTTGGCCTGGAAGACCTCTATCTCCTTTACGTCCTGCTGGACCATCAAAACCAGGCAGTCCATCACGCCCTGGGTCACCAGGAAGACCAATTGGACCTAGAATAGACAAATAAATAACTGAAACACAATTCAGCTGAATTCAGGTGAATTCAGTACCTTGTCCCCACAGCCCATGCCAAGAGACTCGCACTGCAACCTGCAGTCAGCTGTACTTGTGCCTTTCCTCTGCAGCCACCTAGCATCATACCTGGCAGTCCCTGTGGCCCTGGCAATCCGGGTGGCCCTTTTGACCCAGGCTGTCCTGGAGGACCCGGGGGACCTGGGTCACCTTTGACGACAATGCTTCGTCCAATGGTGCCTGGTAGACCTGGTGGACCTGAGAGAAAGCAGCTCAGTGTTAAATAAACCAAGGTGGAAAAGAGCATTAGAAACAGTTTCTGTTATTCTTGATTGCAAAGTCTGATGGCGAGAGCTCTGTCAATGCAGTGTATGTGTGTATATATATATATATACATATATATA